AAAAAAAAAAAAAAGTAAAAAAAAAAAAAAAAAGTGGTACTTCTTCCTGAAACATGCAATTATAAAATTCCTTGCTGCACGAAATAGAAGATATCACGTGTATGTTTGTTGTAGGAAAAGCTAGACAGATTCAGATGAGATGGTTATTAAAGGATTATTAAACACAGAAACCACACCTGGATCAGAAATGATCTGCAGATGATCTCAGACCAAGGAAGTATTTGGGGTAACCATCGTACATACGTTTCTTATACTGTTCTTTATGTGTCAGCTTTTGGCCACTGTTGGTATCAAGATAACTTTGGTCAGCCTATATTCTAATGAAGTACAGCATCTTTATAGTCAGAGTTAAAAACAGAAATGTGCCACTATGTGTTTATGTACACTACTTTTAAAGATTTTATGAGAAAAGTGTTATTACTAGTAATATATTCCTCAGGAAAGGTATGAGCTCACAGTTGCAGCTTACAACCTGTGTAATAATGCAAAATCAGTATAGAGTGATGGGTAAAAGCTGAATCTATGCAAAAAAGGAAAGGCAATTGCCAAAACTGTCAAACCATGGACTGCAATGAAGTGCATAAATCACAGGAACAGTGGCTGGAATGTGATTCTTCTATTCAGTCTCAATTCTAACCCTCCCCATGCTCATAGCTGTGAAAAATACATTCAACATCTTCTCCATTATGACACTGCACAGACAAGGGCAATCTACATACAAAAAGTGAGCATGGCAGCCATGTTAACCAGCCATTTCACTGAGCTGCATTTGAAATATTGGGTGCCATGTGGCACTTAGATGAGAGAGATCAAATCTGCATCATCTATTTTGTTCAGGATAGAGTCTTGTCAAATTCCATCACTTATCTGGCAAGATTAAAGTTCTGCCTATCTTCACTGAAGATAGTTTGGATATTTTTTTTCAGCAACAAGAAAGATATATTGAACAAATTTCAAAAGCTTCTCTGTCAGCCTAATACATTATAAAAGTTGAATCAAATATGGCATTTGAAAATGAAATCAGAAATAATTATGACGTGTTCCCTGAATCAAAATTCTTACATATGTGGTATTAACAAATTAAGTAATTCCTCTTTCTCACTGGGAGAAAGATAAATGTGAGAGTTACCTGACCAGGCTTTGCATTCTCACAGACGACTACATCATACTCTCTGGCAAGCTCTGGAGGGTTGTCATTGACATCCAGAATTCTAACACCAACTGGAACATGGCTCACTAGCCCAGGATCGTCTGCAAAATATACAGGAGACTATTAAACCTTTTGAAATATTCTATATTCTGTGACATCCTCAATTTAAATATAGTTTCTTAACACAATAACTGAATTAGAACTAGAGGCAGACATTTAGGTAGCAAGATACTAAAAGATGTTGTTTGCTGTGTGTCATAAAGTGTTTTGAGAAGCAACTAGGAGAAAAAAAAGAGTAGAAAGTATAGTATGAGTCTTAAGTTGTTGTTACATCAATTAAAATGTAGGTTAATCTGGAACTAAAGTGGGAGAAAACTGTTGCAGCTATCATATACCATCACATTGTACAAGAAGTTGTCAATTGCTTTGTAATGAACGTAAAAGTGTCATCACAGTATTGAATAAAACCTAATATGGAAAATAATAAAAACTTTTCTTTTTCTCAGTCCTCTAAAAGAGTTTGTGAAATAAAATAGCAAAATAATAACAAAATAATTATATATAGGCACATATAAAGTTTTTTCCAATCTAGTGTTTAGATTCATCACAAGTTACTATACTATCACACAAAGTAGTTTAAGAGTCTTGCTTAAACAGTGACATGCTAGTAAGAAAACAATGTTTAAATAACCTTGTCTTAGGCTATGATTTATACTTGCATGAAAGCTCATCCTCAAAAAGAGCTCAGCCTCAAGAAGCACAAAAACCAAAATCCTTTCAATGAGAATACACTTTCCATGATGAAATGGAAAAAACCCTCAATTTTGTTTAATTCCTTTGTTCTTACTACTACGTACTAAGACAAAATTGTGTTATTGAAAGAATTATATATTAAAACTTTCCATAACTACCTAAAATACACCTTTTGAAATCTGTATAAGTATCACCTAGTTAGATGATAAACTTCATTTTAATTCCACCAGTAAACGAAACTATCAGTAGAAGCCAGCAAAATCAATCTTTCAATCACAAGATGGAAGAATGGAACCCATTCTTACAATTTTAGATTGTCATTTTAAAAGTGTATGTAGTCTTAATCTCATTTGCCTTGGTGACTTTGATCTTAATCCACACCATATTTCTGACAAAATTGGTCATTTAAAAAAATGCCTTAGATTTGTCACACCTTTAATAGCTTCTTCTTAGTATTATGAAAAAGCATTCATTAGACACATGTGTATTAAAAGCCACCAGGTTCCCAATGAAAGAATACTTGAGAATGTCTCCAGGAGACCATGTGGGGTATGACTATTAACACAAAAATATTCTTGTTCCTTCTTTGGATGTAGGTCATGAGATTGTGGAGAATAGCACAAGCAGTGGAGACTGAATTGGTCTGATTGATCACTGAAATATAGCTTACTGACTTAGGTAACTTCCTCTGTCAATGTCATCAGAAAATCCAATTTAAAAAAATCCTGTAATTGCAATTACAAAACATAGTATCAAGCAATAGATGATGTAGAGATGATCTGTGACTCAAAGGAACTTCATTCTTGAGGCTTTGTTCAGGAGGGACATTTGTGAACTAGAAAGTTGTATTAAAGCAGACAAAGAGAGAGCACACAAAAGCATAGAAAGGAGACACAAGGCAGTAAAGGGTTAAGGACTAACAAATCCACTTGGGAGTGGATTCACTAACTACAGTGCAGGAATAGATTATTTTAATACTAGAGAAATCTCAAAGAAGCTCTTGCCAGCAGACAAAACCAGCTGCCATTTTAAGATAATCATACAATCACTGAAATATTTTAGTTGAAAGAGACTTTTGGAGGTCACTAGTTCAGTTCTCAGCTCAAAGCAGGGCCATCTTCAAAGGTGTAAGGACGTATATTTCATGTAAGAGGACAGCAGTAAAATAAGCAGGAAGAGCACAGTGCAGAGGGTACCAGAGATAGAGAAGACCTGTTCTGTAGGTTTGACATTAAGTATCAGCCCCTTCATCCGCAACTTCTCTGTGAAGTCCCTGTCCACAGTCAGTCTCAATTCTTGTATCTTCTGTTAATTTCTGCAGTCAAAGTTTAAAACTCCTATTTAATAACTCTCTTTGAAAATAATGCAAACTCATCAGGCCTGTAAATTTAACAAGCTTTTTAATACAGCTACTGCTATCTGAAACTTCCTCTTGTTATTAGCAAAATTCCCATGGATTTCATGGAAATAAATTCTCTCTGAATTACTTTTTTTTTAAATTATTATTTTTTTTTAAGTTAGACTGGTATAGTTAAACAGTTAATATTTTGAAAGCTGAATGAATAGTTTAACTCAGAGACAGCCTATTTAAAAGGGTGAAGGATTTTACAAACAAATCAAGTAATTTTATGTTTCATGATCTGGAACAAAAATGTTCATGTATTTTCATGTGGATTAGAATTAATATGTATCCTTTTGAATCATCAATATTAAACATTGATCTTAATCAGTACAATAAGAACTTTCTTTTTTCTCATTTTGACACCTTTTCAAGACTCTATGAGGCAAGCCAACACTTAGGATGTTGTCTATGTTTGAGCAGTTGCTCTATCACCCAATGAACCATCCACCTGAGAACAGGTGAGAGGGAACAGGAATCAGGAAAAGGAAGGGAGACCCATGGGTTTCCAGATTAAATAAAATTACAATAAAGAGCAACTATTAATCTCAATACGACTATGAACACCAAAGTTATACTCAGTCCATACAGTGGTCATGAGCTGTGAATGCTGAATGCCAAACACTGAGTACCACACCTCTGGTGAGAGCTCAATGATCACAGCAAACAGGAGAGTAGGCCTCAGGAGCAGAACAATGGACAAGACCCTGTGGGAACAACGGCCTTTGAGGAAGAGCACTGTCTCTAGCAAAATTCCCAATTTACATTGAGAATGATGCTTATGATATTCCAAACAACTGTTGGCCAAGTTGGGTCAGCTGCTGTCAGTTGACTCCTGCTAGCACTAGTGCCTGGCTAGCTCAAAACTGCTGACGACCTCGATCAGTGTGGAAAACCACGTACCATGGCTGAAAACAAACTGAAAGTAAGTGCCTTAACAACTTTGCTTTCACAGAATTAGGTGCTGCAGTTTTCTCAAAAATTGCAGCTTCCCTGAACAGAAAATTAATTTTACAATTCTATCCCAGCAAAACAAGGACAGAAGTTCAACCCACTATCTATTCAAGTACTTTTAAAAAGAGAAGCAGAAAGCACTTACCACACTTCTTTAGTAATTATTAGTTCTGTTGCATTAGAAGACTAAATGCAGATCTAGGAAGAATAAAATGTACTACAAAAAAACAGAACTAAAGTGATGAAAGAAAGTCTAGTATGTAAGAGCATTAATATTCAGAAAATACTGTGTTTAATTCAGAATGGTGTATATGTGATAAACTAGATAGTCTGTCAAGGAGAAAAATATGCAGAATCTAGTAATAAGTATAATGTTCTATCCTGTTTTTTTTAAGATAGCGGGTACTTTTAAATACTGTTACCTGAAGATGGCTAGAAAATGTTTTCATTTTTCTTACAGCAAAATCTGACTTTTTACTGATGAACACAAACCTGAAGGCTCTCATAATTATCTCTTGGATCATGCTAGTAGTTGTAACAGTAGTAGTAACAGGAGCATTAGTAGTAATAATAGCACTGCAGCAGACTTAAAACATATAGCGCTCTCAAGCTGGCAAGTCCCTCTGCCTTAATACAAGAAAAATTCTTCAGCTCATAGAAAACACTGGTGCTCACCTCCTAAACAGGTCTGAACACCACAAAATATACTGGTCCTGTGGCCAGAAATGTGTGTTTTGCGATTCAGGTACTGACTGATTCATAAAGCCCTGAACAGGGAAATGTGACATCCTAAAGACCGTCTCTTCTTTGGGGACCCACCCTTGCAGCCAGGAATAGCCATAACCTACATCATCTTCAGATGACAGGGTAGAAACATCTTTAGCATATCTTTACCCAAAGGAAATTGAGGAGAAGAAACTTCATCATTCCTAGAACTCAAGACTAAACCAAGGTAAACAGTGAATTAAGCATCAATTTGGAATTTGAATTATCACTTCTTGTGTAGGATGGAGAACTAGCTGCCATTTGACAACTGTTGTTTTTTTTTTTGTTAAACTGTAGGTTTTCTTTATTGCATTGATAAATCATTTTAAAAGAACGGCAGATTCTGATGCAAATCATATTATTGTGATTTTATGGTCCATCAGTAGGCAACTTGCCGAGGCTGAAAATAAACTGTGTATCACTGGAAATTTTGGATAGGGTACCAGCACTGTGTCTAGCTTCCACCTTTAAGAAGATATCAGATACTTAGTTTGTCACTACTCTATGAGCAAAATAGTCTTAACACTCAGACATTATAGTTTTTAAAGTCTGCTTTAATCTGGTCCACATTTGGGAAATATTTTTGTGGCAGAATCTTCCTTGGAAAAAAATAAAGTAATTGTTACCAATACCAAAACTCTTTCTGAAACTGAGCTAGCAGGCAGAATGCAAGTGTGGTCAAAGATTAAGAATAAATGTGTGATAATCATATATGTAGCAAACCAATATGTAAGACAAAATTTTCCTGTACTGTTGCTAAAAAAAATAAAAAATAAAAGAAAAAATTAAAAAGTGCATTTCATCATTTAAGTACACTCTATGGTTAAAAAAAGCTTAGTTTTGGATAAAAAAATTATAGACTGCAAATATGTATGAGGAAATGTTATGTTTAGTGAAAGGAAAAATTCACTTCAAGGAAAAAGTAAGACACAAAGCCAGCAACAATCTCACTAATATTATACAATCATCCTGCTGTCCACCAGAGGGTTAGGAGGTTATAACACTGTAACAGCACTTTGTTCTGAATTTTTTTCTTTTAGATCTTGAAAAGGCTTCCTTTGTATAAAAATTAATTGTTTGATATGAGGCATTAGATTATTTTTTATTATGGAAAGAAATGAGAAAATAAAATGTAATTAATTCTTGTTTTCTAATTCTTTCAATGCTGTCTGTCAGGAAGCTATTACTCTATAGACTCATTTCCTTCAGGCATTGCATATGTTGTTCTCATGTGTTTCAAAATAACCAGAAATAAACATCTACCTTTGTCTTCTGATTTTACTTTTTGTCAAATAAATGTATTTTTTTTTAATTTCAATTTCTGCACATTGCCTCCTGTTATTTCACTAGGTACCACTCAGATGAGTCTTTCTTCATCTTTGAGCTACTAGATATTGTGCAAAGAAGTGCAAAAAAGCTGACAAAGGGTTTGAAGCATATGTCTTACGAGGAGCAGCTGAGGGAGCTGGGGCACATTGCTGGCTCATGTTCAACTTGCATCCAACAGGATGTCCACATCCTTTTTTGCAAAGCTACTCTCCATCTAGTTGGCCTACCTGTGCACTGGTGCATGGGATTATTCCTCTCCAAGTGCTGGACTATGCATTTCCTATTACTGACATTCACAAGGTTCCTGTTCACCCATTTCTCCAGTCTGTCAAGATTACTCTGGATGGCAGCACGACAGAATCACAGAATCATCATGGTTGGAAAAGACCTCTAAGATCACCAATGGTACACCCAGCGTGGGGAGAAAAGGAACAACACAACCCACCTGAACAAAAAACAATAAAAAGCCCACAAAAAAACCCCACCCCATGTCCACTAAAGCATGCCCTGAAGTGCCACATCTACACATTTCTTGAATACTTCCAGAGATGGTGACTCCAACACCTCCCTGGGCAGCCTTTTTTAGTGCCTAGCTACTCTTTCAGTAAATAAATTCTTCCTAATATCTAGCCTAAACCTCCCTGGCACAATTTCAGGCCATTTCCTCCAGTCCTATTGTTATCCACTTGGGAGAAGAGTCCAACACCAGCTGCACTACAACCTCCTTTCAGGCAGCTGTAGAGAGCAATGAGGTCTCCCCTCAGCCTCCTCTTCTCCAAACGAAACAATCCCAGATCCCTCAGCCTCTCTTCATAGGACTTGTTCTCTAACCTTTCACCAGCTTACTAGTTCTTCTCTGGACATGCTGCAGCACCTCAATGTCTTTCTTGTAGTGAGGGACCAAGAACTGAACACAGCACTTGAGGTGTGGCCTCATCAGTGCCGAGACCAGGGGCATGATCCCCTCTCTACTCCAGCTGGCCACACTATTCCTGATGCAAGCCAGGATGCTTTTGACCTTCTTGGCCATGTGGGCACACTGCTGGCTCATGTTAAGCCAGCTGTCAACCAGCACCTTCAAGTATTTTTCTGCTGGGCAGCTTTCCAGCTGTGTCATTTGTAAACTGCCTGAGAGTGTGACCTGTCCCATCAACCAGGACATTAATGAAGATATTAAATAGTGTCAGGCTCTGGGGGTACTCCCCTAGTGACTGGCCTCCAGCTGCACTCTGGACTGCTGACCACAATCCTTTGAGCCTGCCAATTAAGAGAGTTTTCAACCCACTTCAGCATTCATTTATCTAGCCCATACTTCAATCTGTCTTGTTCTTACATTATTTTCTTTAAATCCTCCTTAATACTTAGCAGCTAGGGAGGGTTTTTTGTGAATCTGAATCACATCCTATTATTGTGTGCTATCATTACAAAGAATTCTAATTGATAGATCTGGCACCAGTCCTTAAAATAGCTCAGCCCTAACTTTTTCCACTCCCAAAGAAACAACCATTCACTATGACTATTTCTTTCCTCTAAATCAGTCTTTAATTTGTTATAAAATTTTGTGCACTTGCTCTGCATTACTGTATTTGACTTTGTCAAAAAGCTTTAATAGAGTTAAGCAAATTGTAACTCCATCCTCTTTCAAATACACTTTTATAAGATTTTTCAAAGAATTCAAACATGCTCATGAAATGTGAATAATCTACATGAAACATATTTTAAAATCCTATTACTATCAATTTGTAGTATTTCCCCCTACAAAGTCTGTAGATCCTTCAATGTATTATATAGCATTACTTCATCATTTTTCTTATTCTCTAATACCACAAAGAGTTTTCAGGAAGCAGTAGTGAAACAATCAAAGTTACATCTTCAGTCATGTCCCCCGGACACCAAAATCGCAGGATTCCTTACTGTATGTTGCTGTTTAAGAACAGCGCATATTAAAGAAAAAAAAGATTGTCCCAGCCATTCTCATGGCAATGAACTCTGTTGTGCTTTAGGAAGCATCTGTGTCAATGGAAAAAAAACACTGATCATTACATGAACATTCCTCCTACAGAAGAAAAGACACTGGCAATTCATCAGACTTCAAGACCTTTCAAATGCACAGACAAGTATTTATTGTATCTTTACCTGGCAATTTGCCTATTAAAAGTAAACTGGCAGCCTTCTCATATACAGAAAAACACAGTAAATTTACATAGATGGAATCACATAGACATGTGAGGTTTTGTTTATTTGTTCTGTGGAATTAGGAAATTTATAAACACAGAGAAAATTCTCCTTTATCAAAACTGGTTAAAAAATCCACGGTGTTAAAAAGAACTTAACTTTTTAAGATAATGCTTCCTAAAATATATTTTTAAAATATAATTTTCCTTACTTTTTTTTTTTTTTTTTTAATATCCTGTGCCAACTGTATTATTTACCTATCTCGGAAGCAGCCACTGTGATGTTGTACCAAGGTGTCTCCTCTCTGTCAAAGACCTTGGCAGTCTTAATGGTCCCAGTACTAGCATCAATGGTAAAATACGCATCTTCTTCTGTGTTATGATCAATGAAATATCTATGAAGAAATAATAAAAAAGAGGTATACTCATTCTAGTATGTATCATCCAAAATAAACAAAAGGTACATAAGAATATTCCTTTCAAGTTTTTAAAACAATAGAATTAAAAAAAAAATTAAAATACTATGTTATGGAGACACTCAAACTAACACCATATTTCATTTATTTCATAATGTTACATTTCTTTTGATACACAAGGTTTTGACTGTGAAACACTGATTTTACAAAGCAGGATGCAATCCTGTCAAAGGTAAGATACAGAGATGTTTTGACTAAAAAATCATAAAATAGAAAGGCAGAAAAGAAAACATTAATATACAATTCTTTTTCTTATTTACTTGTCACTGCAAACCAATGTTCTCAGTCCTAGTACCTGTTTTGAAGCATGTCTCTCTGACACGAAGTTCATGACAGGATGACATAAACCATTTTAAACACAATCATTACTGAGACTAGTAGCAGAAAGGGCTGATTCCAAGAGCTGCAATTGACACCACTCTAGAAGCAGAACTAAGCACCCCTGCTTAATTCCCTTGGCTTCTGAGCAGAGAAAGTAAAAACCTTGAAGTGGGTAATGGAAGCAGAGGAAGGGAACACAAAAGAAGAGATTGACCAGACATTTTTTTCTCAGAACCACAATTATTTACAACAGCAGCCTACAAATGAAGTAATTACAGACCCCTATCAAGTTTTCTTCGCTGACTTCAGACTTGATGAAAAAAAATAAGGAAAAACTTCTAGGTCTTTTCTATAACAAAATTGTTTTTCCTGATAATTTGTCAGCCCTGTTTTCATTAGTGAAGTTTTTAATATATGGATGTTATATATAAGTCAAAATTATTCATTTGTCCTATTCAATTGTTCTTATTTCTACATCACCAAAAAGTGTAATTGCCAGTTAATAAAAAGAGTGGTGCATAAAAAGGCTGCCAAGCGCAAAAAATGTTAAAAATAACCAGTTTTATTTATCTCACAATGCACTTCTTTTGAATAGTTATGAAAAAGAAAAACAAACAAGCAAACATTTAATTGAATGATATATTACATTAAGACACAATCTATGATAAAGCAATGGAAATAAAACATGAGAAAAAAAGGCAGCAATATGAGTGAGTGACTTTATTTGGTGGAAAAAATGGCTAGGACTTGATGATTTAGGTTAAATCTTGCTTGTTGAAGAGAACCTGAATCCAACTCTTGCATGTGCAATAAGTATTTTACATCTGCCTTAAAATATGCTATTCTGACTTGGAACTCAAGATTTTATTTTCATGTTTCTAGTATTTTTAGCAATTAGCAAACTGCAGGTCAGACACTGGAAATCAAAACAGCCAAACCTAGCTTACAAAATCTTTTCTTTTTGTCTGCTCTCTATCTTTCAACATTGTGAAGAGTGAAACAGCTCCCATATGACTGTGGATGCTGCTAGAGAGACAGCAAACCTCTGTTCCCACCCATGTTATATTCCTCTGGCATAAGGATTGAACTTGCTGTCTGAAATATGTCTGTATCTGAAATATAGTCAGAATGACATTAACAAACAACACTTGAGAATATCTCATTGAAAAATTGATTAATTTCTAATTGCTGAATCACAGTGGGCATTGCAGATGCATTTTGAAAAGTCAGTGGGCTTGTCAGTGTTCAGTAAACTCAGAAGATTAATTAAAAGCAAGCTCTTGACCTCCATTCATCAGTCACTGGTAATGGCATGCTGGATATTACACCTATCCAAGAAAATTTATGTTGGTTTTGAGGAATACTGGAATCTTCTGAGGGCCCATCACAAAGCCAACAAAAAGAAGGGATGACACAACTATCCTATTGTCATTATTTTATGTGTTAGTATTGGTCCAGGCTATCCATACCTCTTTATTTGGGAATCAGTATTTGATTTTCAAATTCAGAACAAGTGTTTTTTCCAGAGTCTCTGCAGATGTCAGTCTTCTGTGAAGCACAGATTTTCAGGTTCTCCAAGTCTTTATTTGTCATAGAAATATTTTGAAAGATTGTGCCAATATCAGTGGAAAAGTCATATTTTCTAGAGGTGTAGCTAGCCTTACTTTTTACTAGTTACAAAACCTTTAGAGACAGAGTGGAATCAAATTCTAAAATTCTATAAAGCTGCCATGCTTGCCACAGGGTTGTGTTGAAATTTGAATATCAAACAGAAGAACAATGCTTCAGATGGAGAAATCTCCTCTTGCCTCATGCCTTGTGTGTAGCATCGTAGGAACCTGAGTTTTGACAAATAGTTGAAACATCTTGGCTATACTACTAGCAAGGCAGAAACAATGAACATTTGGTTGTGCTGGGCAAGATGGACAGAACACATATACACAAATATCTTTTACATGATAGACTCGTATGCTGATGAAGGAAGCACTGGAAGCATAATTGTCCCTCAGTTTTCGTGGAGACATTAGCAAGACCCTTTACTTGTAGAGCTTACAATCAGGTATTCAATGAGAAAAGTTAACTCCTTCTCTCCTACTAAAGCCTTGTTTTAATTTGGTTCTCCTGAAAATGACAAGAATTATTTAGTGGGGGAAAGTTTCACCATATAACTCAAGAGTCTTTTCCCTGCAGACATTTATTACTGTGGACATTGTTTATTTATTATCAACACCGTGCACAGTGTCTACTCTTTGAATCAGTATTGTGCTGACCACAGAACCATAAAAATAGGGATATTTCATATTTGTAGAGAGTAGCTTAAAACCAGACAGGATATCAAATTGGGCTTAGATGTGAAAAAAAACTTAAAGCAGTAAGAAAACTCAGCTGCTTTTGTGTGTCTGACATAACAAATCATTACTTCTACCTCCAGTATAGAACAAAAATCAACAAATACCTGTCCCAAATATGAAGCTTGTGTAGAAAACTTGGTTTGATGCTGTTATGAATTCTGTACCTAACACTTCTTTTTCATAGACATTCAGTAAAACACAGACTTATTTTTTTTTTATAAGGACACCTTTTTCTAAAATGGTGATTTATATGTATGCTGTAGAAACGATTTGTTGTCAGTTTTGAGAACTCAGTATTGGATGAATAATTTTATTTGTATTTTCTAAGTAATTAATGTAAATAAGGTGATCCTGAGGTAACTTATTGTACTAATACTTTCATTTCCAGTGATACTACATTAACAAAATTTTTTTCATTTATTCACAGTAGAACTTCCCCTTCATGTGCTAACTTTTGCATACAGTTACAGACATACTGAAGCATTCACAGGTTGTCAGAATTTTACTTGATCATAAATAATAAAAGTGGCCCTTCTTTATGCTTTCCCATTATGGTAATGTTCAGTTCTCTTCCATTAGTCCAGATTCTTCCTTAAGATTACTATGTATGTCAAATCTAAAGCCACCACTTGCACTGCTGCAGTTTCCAACCTTCATGAATGTCTCAGTAAAACATACATATTCTCACACAGCAGAAGAATTAGGAATACAAATCTAAAGCATTGCTCCTAAGTGCTCTAATTATATTTTGTAGAAGAAACTTCCTTAGCATAGCCACTCAATTTTGTCACACGTAAGAAAACATTTAGAACAAACTTAATAGCATTTATACATTGTGTGACATTTTAGGCCTTTATAAATACTAGTCACTGACTTATCTACATGTTGAGAATAAAAACCATGCATATCCATAAATACACCATACTCCAGAGCCAATGATCCTTTTCTTAGGCTTCTCAATTTCTTTAATCCAGTAAAAAAAATTACTTTCAGCTAGATAATAGTGGCAACAAAAATAGTCACATGCTTCCCCTCCTATTCTTCCCTCCACCTCTACTGAGTAAATGCTTTTCAATATTTTTTTGAGACTGAAAAACCTATAGTGCAAGTTTTGAATTTCAGTGTTACTTCAAAACTAAATTTTCACCTTAGTTCAGTTGACTCTTCTTATTTAGAATGCACTTACTTTAAAATGAATTTACAATATTTATTGCAGATATTGCTTTACAGACATTTACTCATGACAAGGCTCTGTGAATTAGCATACTTTTAACAATTAAATCAGCACATCTGAGCTGCATGGCACATGTTAATAAAGAGACTTAATAACAAGACATGCCTAGAAAAACAGCTCTCCATAAACAGTTCATGTCAAACCAGCAACAGAAGCCAGTCCTAAACAAACTATATTTAAAAGGGTCATTAATATAGAGAACTTATTAGTCACAGTATCTGAGGAGAATCTGAAGGAAAATAAATACCAAAATTCAGTCCTGCTACCAGTAGGAAATGCAACATGTGCCACCTTTTTATTAGGTGAAGTCATTCAATTGAAGGGCATTCCCAGCTTCCATCAACACCATTACTCCTAATTCTGATCAAAGCAGCTCCTTGGCTCCTGTGACTTCCTTCCTCACTTCCAGTCTTTTAGTGAAGAAGTGGTTCAGGGGCAATAGGCATTCCCACCAATTTTTTTGAGAAACAAAAACATTTGCATGAATTAGGAAATAAAGGGAAATATACATGCAAGATAGTATTTTTTGCAAAAGGGTAATCTAGATACATATTTCAGTTTGCAGTAATAAAGTAGTCAGGCTCTAATAACATAAACAATGCTTAAATAACATATCCTAAAGGACTTCAGGAACATTAATGAGTTTCAAACCTTTTAGGAGGGCTTCTGAAGAATAAACCTATAAGCATTTCAGAATCACTATCCCTAAATTTTTCACTCGTAAGTTAATATTAACATCAGTTTGTCACTTGACAGACAAGTGGCATAGTCTGTTACTATTCCAGTATGCCAGTATGTGTTTCTTCAGTTAATCTGTTTTAAGGAAGAGCCTTGAGTTTGAGTTTTGTATAGTTTTGAGTTTTTAACTAATTTCAACGCTGGCTAAAAGCCTATTACTTCTAATGAACTTCCAAAGCTATGTTTCAGCCAGATGTGGATTCACAGGTTATAGTACTTCTGCATATCAATTAGAAATCAAATGTAATTCTATGGAAACCTCTTTAGTTGAAAAT